TGGACCAGTAAGCGCTCTGGGTTGTGTGGGGATTNTTATTAAATTTATTTTCAATAAAGGGACCAGTAAGCGCACCGGGTTGTGTGGGGATTGGCGCTTGTGTTATTTAATTTATTATAAATAAATAAAGGGACTAGTAAGTGCACCGGGTTGTGTGGAGATTGGTGCTTGTGTTATTAAATTTATTTTCAATAAAGGGACCAGTAAGCGCACCGGGTTGTGTGGGGATTGGCGCTTGTGTTATTTAATTTATTATAAATAAATAAAGGGACTAGTAAGTGCACCGGGTTGTGTGGAGATTGGTGCTTGTGTTATTAAATTTATTTTCAATAAAGGGACCAGTAAGCGCACCGGGTTGTGTGGGGATTGGCGCTTGTGTTATTTAATTTATTATAAATAAATAAAGGGACTAGTAAGTGCACCGGGTTGTGTGGAGATTGGTGCTTGTGTTATTAAATTTATTTTCAATAAAGGGACCAGTAAGCGCACCGGGTTGTGTGGGGATTGGCGCTTGTGTTATTTAATTTATTATAAATAAATAAAGGGACTAGTAAGTGCACCGGGTTGTGTGGAGATTGGTGCTTGTGTTATTAAATTTATTTTCAATAAAGGGACCAGTAAGCGCACCGGGTTGTGTGGGGATTGGCGCTTGTGTTATTTAATTTATTATAAATAAATAAAGGGACTAGTAAGTGCACCGGGTTGTGTGGAGATTGGTGCTTGTGTTATTAAATTTATTTTCAATAAAGGGACCAGTAAGCGCACCGGGTTGTGTGGGGATTGGCGCTTGTGTTATTTAATTTATTATAAATAAATAAAGGGACTAGTAAGTGCACCGGGTTGTGTGGAGATTGGTGCTTGTGTTATTAAATTTATTTTCAATAAAGGGACCAGTAAGCGCACCGGGTTGTGTGGGGATTGGCGCTTGTGTTATTTAATTTATTATAAATAAATAAAGGGACTAGTAAGTGCACCGGGTTGTGTGGAGATTGTTGCTTGTGTTATTTCTCACATGATTTGCCAGTCGCATTTGGGAGCACTGTTGAGAATCCCTGGAATGCCCCCTCCTTCTCTACGTATTCGCTTCTCCAACACTCTATAGATCGGTATGTTAGTGACAGTAACTTTTATGTTACTGACCGTAATTTTCGCTGTGGGAATCCTTTTAACCCAACGCTGAAGTGGGTACAGTCCGTAGCATGGCAGTCAGCAATCTCCCTACTAATCTCTTTCTGCTCACTCGAGCTTTGAGGTTTGAGTGCCGCGCGTAACTCTTTTTTCATTGTGAACGTTCATAATGAAAATCACTTATTACATATATATATGTGAATAGCTCCTCAGCACGGAGGTCTATGATATACGCAGATGGTCCTATACGTAGGGATAATTTTTGTGGAACATTTGTGCTGTTTTGTTCAAGATTCAGCAGATGGTTACATGAGAAATAATCATTGTATATATAGTTATGCTACTATAGTATTGCCGAACACTATTATAATACTAGCGAAAGTAATAGTGTGTCATTAGATTCAAAAAAAAAATTTATTTACATCACGAGCCACTTAAATAACTTCGTTCCATGATGTATACAGACTTTCGTCATGTTTTGGTGCACTTTATAATGTTCAGCTACTTTTACAGTCTTTTACAGAAAATTATTTGCCCATTTTAAATAATTTATGTTGAAATTAATTAATACAAATTTTTATTCAATTTTACAATGACATTTGGTATTTTTATTTCTTCCTTTCAGTGTTTACTGGTTCCAGATGCTCCTCTACTCGGTCGTAGTTTTCTATTGCGACACCAGGTGCGAGAACGCGGAAATGACACAAAATATTTACAAAAATTAAGTGTAGGAAATATGAACAATGGGACCAACTGTCTGTGTATCTTACACAGTGCTCTACAGTAAGTTGCCGTGACGCATGATCACGGTGTATAAAAATATAAGAAATGGTTGCATTGTCCATTTTGCCTACAGTTAATTTTTTTGGTAATTTTGTGTCATTTTCAGTCTTTCGCACTGTAAGTGTAACTGTAAAATTATACTAAAATTTGTATAAATTATACAGTGTATCACATTATTTGATGTAAATAAAATTTTTTTCAAGCTATTGACATTATTTTTGCGCCAGTATTATACTTGTTTTCACCAATATGAGTAGTATGATTATATGTATGGTCCTCGTTTCTTACTTCGCCATTTGCTGGGTGTTGTATGACACAGCATAAATATTTCATAAGACCATCTGTCATCTACAAGAGTCGGGGTCTTATCGCGGCACGTCGATTTAAGATTGTATAGGACACCCCTTTTACGCTAGAGTGTACCTTTCAAACAAAACGTTTTATCAAGTCTTCTAAATACTAAACGGTAACATTACTAATAAATTGTAAACAAATAGTGCGGCTAAATCAAGAAAAAATTTTATTTGAGTAAATCGCTCAATTATTTATAATAATATAGCCATTTAAAAAAAATCTACTGAACGCTTGTTAACCTACATAATTGATTTCCGGTTTCGATTCAAAATCCAGGTTAGCAAGCGTGGAGTAGATTTTTTTATGGCTATATTATTATAAATAACTGAGCGATTTGTTCAAACAAAATTTTTTATTGATTCAGCCGCATTATATGTTTATAATTAATTACCATTGTTATCGTTAAGTATTTAGAAGACTTGATAAAAAATTTTATTTGAAAAGTGCACTCTAGCGTAAAAAGGATGTCCTATAAAACCTTGACCTGATACCTTCCGATATGCCGCAAAACTTTGGATTCAATTGATTAATTGTACATAGAGAATAAGCTCAATAAGTGAGCCTAAACAGTATAATAGCACTGTATCGAACCATATAGGCCTAAATCAGTGTCACGAAGAGACACCGAGTTTAACCGTGACTTAATCATATTTTAATTTGTACGTATAAAAAAATCTTATAAAGTATATAAATAAATTTAAAGTTTTTTGACTTAGTATTTCATTTTTTTACGTTCACTGACATTTTTAATCCTTGTTATTGAGAATGAAACAAAAAACCCGATTGTACTTGGCTTTTTTTTAACTACTTAACACCTCTGTAGTCACCGCAGTGCACAATCATTAAAACGTGACTGTCAGTAAGCTTTAGCGTTGTTTAACGGATTCAAAGGTTTGTTCGAGAACAAGAACAACAAGTGCACCCAGACTCCTCGACGATTGTCACAGACTTTAGCGAGAACGTTTTAACTAATAAAGTTCGAGAAACGTGTAAATTATCGGTAATAACATACTTTGGTACAGGCAAATGTATCTCCAAAGTATACGTTGATATATTTTGCTTACCAGCTGATACCTTAATGTTTTTAAAAATAGTTTATAAAAAAATATTGTACGCAACTTCAACGAAAATTAATGAAAGATCATGTAACTATTATGCTCAATTGGTAGACGGCCGTTACGTTAAACTAAAACATTTTCTACTTCATAAACATAGTAATAAAGAATTGACAATTTGCAATGTTCTCGTAACAGTTGCAAATAGTAATTGCAGTACAATTCAAAGAATAGTGAATATTTCAGAAGAGATTTGTATTAATACAAAAGATATTAATATCATTTGTTGTGCAGTAAATTGTGATGATAAAATAAGCGTTACTGCTTTTCCAAATAAATATTCCTATTAATTTTAAATCTCGTTATTATTCTATAAAAATTCTAAAGTGTTTTCTTTTCTCTTAAGATAGTGGTTTGTTACAGCGCATATTTTTTTTGCATCGTTTAATAAAAATCGCACTACTTATCACGCGATTTTTTGCTCGATAAAATCGTGCGACAAATCGTGCTCATTGAGCACTGCTCAAAGTCACACGACTATTAGCGCGATTTTTTGAAAGTGGGCCTCAGGATGATTACTGAGAAGGAAGCTATTGTGGCATTTGTGGCTGCCCGTACTCTTCAGGGCTGTCTTCCCTGGCTTGCATTCAAAGTAGAAAATTCTCTCACGGCATCTGGCCGGATGGTTAAACGGCCACAGAGCTCTGAAGTGTTGGAGCAGGTTTTGCTCTAGCTTGCTAAACTCGTCTCCTGGCGTTCCGCCGGTGACATTGACGTTCTGACCACCTATTTTACCGTGGCACTCGGTTATCTTGACCTTCCGTGGTAAAAACTGATTTATTTCGCTTACCTACGAAAAAAAAGTGTCATCGCCGATCGGTAGCCGGGATGCCCAGCTGCACGACTGACGCCTCTGTGCTTGGTGTACTGTTGATAAACGACTTCGACAATCGACAATTCGATGGGGCATCTTATAATCATACTATCTTTGATTGCGGGTGGCTTCAATTTTACCTCGAAGCCACCTAGCGGATCATACTGAACTAAAGCGCAAAGCTAGCTTATTGTAGCAAAACTTTGAGCTTGTTTATCGCTGTTGTTATTAACTTTTACAAGAAAAAAACTATGCGAAATCCATCTTGGAATTATCAAGAATCAGTATGCTGAAATCAATTTTAGGAAAATCGGTTCAGTAGTTTTCTCAGTTAGCGATTACATTGGTCTTAGCGACTTTGCTTCATATACTAGTATAAGATAAGGTAACTTAAAAATAGTTGAACTACTCACCACAGGTGCTAGTTTTCCCTACGATTAATAAATAAATATTTTTAAAGGAGAACTTTTTCGAGTGTTATCAACTTTGAAAAATAATGTAGATGCCTATTATGGCTAGTACTGTTGAAACATAATCTTTCGGGACTAATTGTAATATTTTTAAACTAAATATTAATACTTATTTTAACAGTACTGTATTTTTAGAGTTAATAATTCATGTTTGGCAGTAGGAAAATATGCAACGTTTCTAAATAACTCTACAAACTGATAAGGAATGCATGTGTAAAAATTCTGTAAGTATTTTCTATGAAAAATTTTTCCAAATTCCACAAGATAAAATAGTATTGAAAAGTGATATTTGGGGTAAGTTAATTTCAAATTTTCATTGAAGTATTATGTTTTATTAATGTCAAAAGTGCACTGTTTCATGAAAGAAATACAAGTATTCGGGAAATCTCAGATTCTGCAAATAAATGACATGGCATTAAATTATGCATACAATGGACACACTTGATGATTGAAGAAATGCTGATACTAGAAGTACTTTTTGCATGCGTGCAACCAATCCTTTTGTCATTATTATCTATGGTAAAATAAAAGAAAGATCATCCATCATTACAAAATAATTGTAGTAGAAGTAGATAGTTGACAATGCTACACAAGGAAAGTAAATCAACAAGTAATTCAAGAAATATACAGTTCTGAATGTTCAAGTTAACAAAAATGTGATGGACAAAACATACAATTTTACTTCATAAGAATGATTTAAACTTTAGAAGAGATTTTATGAGCTTTTCCAGATTCTTTTTTTTTCGATACTTTAGCTTCATCGTGCAGTCGTCTTTTCTTGCACAGCAGCCAGATGGCTTTTGCTCGATCCTCTTTGCCCTTGGTCATGCTCTTGTACAGTTTTCGGTGTTTATTTGAAACTAATTTTTCTCGCAAGCGAAATTCTTGTTTTTCCTGGCGTGCTTTCTCCCAAGGATCTTCTTTGACTACTTTGCCGGTGTTAACCTGCATTTGTTTTTTCTTCAAGAAAAAAAAACATGTTAAATCAAGTTATCATATTAACAATTAACATTAAAGAAATAGGTATGTTTTTAAGAATAAATGTTTAACCTAAAACACTCCCACCTTAAATAGTCTTTCTTGCTCTTTGATATCTACTTTAACTTTTCCTTTTTGTTCAATCTCTTCCTGGATAACTACATCAGTATTCGCTTCAGTTTCTTTATTTTTCTCATTTTTACCTTTATCATTGCTAGTCTTTTCATTAAAAGTTTTTTTTTTGGTATCCTTAACATGTTCCGAATCACTTTTGTCCTTTTTTGCATCCGAATCCTCACTTGACACACTAGCATCTTCCTCTACTTTATTTTTAGAAAGGAATAAATTATGTTAATAATAATAAAAATAATAAAAATATTCATTACACTAATTACTCTAAGGCAGTTTATTTCAGGGACCCTCTTGATGCAAAAGCTAAAACGCTACAAAGTTTGTTTAGTCTTAACTTTATAGCGTACATGCTGAAACAAAAACCTATGGCAAGGGAAGCTACTTAGTAATAATATATATCAAGAGTTCTATCGTTTTAGCCTAAGTGTGAAAAGGACCTCATGTGTATTTTTTTCCCGCACAAATCATATAACTACTTTTTAGGATGGAAGACATTTAAAAAGTTACTTACCATAATTTAAGCGGTAGTTTGGGTCCATCATAGCTCTTTCCTCAGGTGGAATGTACACTTGATCGTGCCTGGGATCCGAAAAAGGTGATAAATGCGGGGGCAGCACGCAACCAATTAAATACTTTTCTACAGGCATTAGATCACGAGCGTTTACTGAATCGAAAACCCACTGTGGTTGTATGTAGTATCTGTAGGAAAAAAAAAAAATTATTTTCATAAAACAATTAAACTTTCAAATTTTGTAAGTTAGTGTATAAGGTCGTCTTTTTTCAATATCTAATGTAGGATTGTTGTAACTTATAAATGTTGCAAATGCTTATTTTACGAAATCAAAAATTATTTTAAAAAATGTTACTTCTTGTTTTTTAAGTTTCATCCACAATGATAGATATTTTACAAAATTTGAAATTTTCACTCAAACAAGCAATGATCAAGTTATACTTAATTTAGTAAAAAAGAAGTGCAGTATAAGAGGAATAAGTAACAATTGATTGCTGAAAAACTTTAAAATGTTCAATTAGGGTAATTTCATTCATTCACAAGTACAAATGGTTGTAAAATTATCTGTACAGTTATTACTAATTTTGAAACTATAGATGATAATTTTTTAACACTTAATTAATAAGATGTGAGAACAGATACAGGTATAAGTAATTTTCTCTCAAACTCTTTAATACATTAAGCTTATTGCATTTGCCACTTTAACTTTTGTAGATGTTCAATATTGGAAACAGAAGAAAGAAAAAATTTTCTTTGAGGTAAGTTTTTCAATTTATAAAAGTTGTAAAAATCTGTTTCATTGTTTCAAGCTACAACATTAAACAGTTTTTAATCCCAAATACATTAATAGCGCGTTGTACTTATCATCAACGGTTTGGTCATATTCTATTTATTCGATAAATTTTTATGTAACCTTTTTTTTTAATTATGTTGCGCAAAACTATTGAAAATTAAAAGAACGTTTTTATTGTTACCGTGAAATATATTGCTTATCCATGCTGGGTCTGTCAACAATGTGGTGAGTAATTGTTTCATCATTTTCGTCAAATGTAGATCCAACAAATAATAACTTTTCCCAAGATACTTCACCTCCAAAACAGCGAATAACAAAAACAAGTTTTTCTCTTGGTACTTCTCGATTAATAAAAAACTTCATACCCTGAAAAAGGGTCTTCAGTCTCTTTATTTTTTGTTGCTCAACTTTCAATTCTTCTATTTTTGCAGAATCAGTTTCCTAAACCAAAATATCAAGGATCAAATTAATATTAGATAGAAGATGCAAAATATGTGTGTTTGAAAACAATGTACAGTGAAACTATTGATTACATTCGCAAAAGTATCAATTTCCATCTCCTCTTCATGTTGGGTTGAATGGTTTGCACTCACTAACGAAACATTTAAAGCCGCTATTCTTTCTGAAACAAAAGCCTGTTCATCTACAAGAGCCTGTTCAGAAATACCTAAAAAAAGTGTTGAAATGTGAGAATGTACAGCTTTTATGCATCGTTTAAACAATACTATTATTGATAACACTTACTTGTGTTGGTGAATTTTGGGGGATAATAGAGATTTAAAATATGATACAGCCTAAAGTTTACAAATCCAAGCATGATTATATAAAATTCAACAAATGTAGACATTAATTTAAAATCAACTTCAGACTTTTTCTGAGGTTCAAAGCCGAAATGATGTGGTACGATCCACGTGATAAGTTGACCTTTGATGTCCGCTTGGAAATAAAAACCTTTAATAGAAATAAAAACTTTTCTCAAAGCCTTGGCGGCTATAACAGCATGCATAAATTCAACAGTCAACTGCCGACACAATTCACTTTGATCCCTGGGTATGTGAGGCATTGATGGGAATGTGCTAAACAAGAAGCATAAGGTAAGGCAATCATCTAGATCTTTCAGAGCATCAATAAAAGTGGGAAATCTTTCCTTAACAATGTGATCAAGGGTAATAGTAGGATGATTCCTCAAAAATCTTTTCATTTCGCCAAAATTTCCCATTGACTTAGCTCGGCTTACTTTCCTTGCAAATACCTGCAAAAAAATGTGATAAAACTTGGTAAGATAAAATTTAACATTAAAATACACACTTTTAAGTCCCTGAACTTCCATATTATAGGCTCATGCAGCAGAAACTGTATGTCCTTTTTGTGGTAAAGAATTTTAATGCGAGTATCCCCTTTTTGAGCCCTTTTACGATTTCGAGGCTCTCTGGGGTAGACTCCTTTCAGGATGCATAATCTGCGAAAATTATTCAAAGAAAGTTGCAATTTTTTCAATGCTTGCTTTCTTGACATGAACTGCACGGCTTCTCCAGCATCGTACTGAAAAATAAAGATTAAAATAATAACAATATCAACAAAGGTAAAAAGATATGAAAACGTGTGGTTGTATAATGATTTCAAGATTTGTAATAATTAAGCATTACAAACCTCTATTTATGTTATATTAGTAACGGTTCATAGACTAATTTATAACTAACCTTTTTTTTACCAATAACAACCATTTTTTGAGGTAATTTGATAAAACTTTGTTGACTTTACTTTAAACTTAACCTACAGAATTTGTTTCACTTCAGAGAATGTAGACAGATGTAGAATAAAAGCCAAAGATAAGTAGAGAGGTTGCTAGCGCCAATGCTACAGCGTAAGCAGCGTTGGGTTAGGCGGAAGGCGGATTCAATATCGGAACTTTCTCCCTAGATCGTATATATAGTTACACGATCTAGGGAGAATGTTCCGTCGAGGAAACAGCACAGCAGTAAATAATGGGGTGTGGCGACTCAGCAGACACGCCTGGCGCCATCTGGCAGGCGCAAGCAACAGCTCATTTCTCGCGAGCTCTACTAACTATCTCCTGATGACCCTAGGCACTAAATGGCCTTTTTGTTAAATAATAAAATATTGATTATTAACACAAATGCCTATCACGTAGTGACCCGGGGCGCTTACTGGCAACTCTGTGGAATAATAGAATATTAATAAATAGCACAAGCGCCTATTACCCTATGACCTGAAGCACTAACTGGCCTCTCTATTGAATAAAAATTANAAGAGAGAAAGAGAGAAAGAAAGAGCTGGACGAATGGATGCAATATTACACGTAATTAAAGAAGTATTAGCCCTTGTGGTCCTATACTAAGTTTTATACTATATACATACCTCACGGTCAGTAAATATACACGTACGTATACATATAATTTTCCATCTGTTACTAATGATTTATGATTTTATATAATAACTTTAGAAAAGGATTCTTTTGAAATTAATGAAGAATGACATAACGTGTACAACCTCATTACGGGTTTTGAATTTCTCTTTAAATTTAATTCAACCTCAGTTTGACAAAATTTGGTTGTAGTTACAAAACCAATACAATTGTATGACTTGCTACATATTACGGATTTACTTGTTATGAATAATAACGTACTCTGGTACTGCACATTATATTATACCAGAAATGACACATGAGAAAGTTATGTGAGAAAATTATATGAGAAAGTTATGTGAGAAAATTACATGAGAAAATCTCATGAGAAGTCTATGTGAGATTATGGCATGGGATCTCACGTGAGAACTCACGTAAGATCTCACGTTAGCTCTCACGTGATAATATGCAGTAGAGTTGTGCTATTTTAATAATTATTTTTTTAACAGAATGGCCAGTAAGTGCCCTAGGTCACTGAGTAATAGGCGCTTGTTTTATTTTTTTATAATTCTTTATTTAACAGAGTTACCAGTAATCGATGCAGGTCATGAGTTGATAGGTACTTGTGGATTTTTAATAATTACTCATCTGTAAGAGTGGCCAGTGAGCGCCCCATGTCATGAGGTGATAGGCGCTTGTGTTATCTTAATAATCATTTATTTCAAAGAGTGGCTATCAAGCGCCCTGGGTCTTTAGGTGATAGGCGCTTATGTTAGCAATAATTATTTATTTAACAGAGTTGCCCTGGATCATAAGGTGCCCTGGATCATAAGGTGATTAGCGCTTGTGTTATTTTGATAATTATTTATTTAACAGAATGGCCAATAAGTGCCCTAAGTCACTGAGTGTCAGGCGCTTGTGTTATTCTAACAATTATTTATTTAACAGAGTGGCCAGTAAGGGCCCCGGATCATGAGGTGAGTAGCGCTTGTGTTATTTTGATAATTATTCATTTAACAGAATTGCCAGTAAGCTTCCCAAGTCACTGAGTGATAGGCGCTTGTGTTATTCTAATAATTATTCATTTAACAGAGTTGCCAGTAAGTGCTCCGTGTTATTGGGTGATAGGCGCTTGTGTTATTTTAATAATTATTTATTTAACAGAGTGGCCAGTAAGGGCCCCGGGTCATCNATAGTTAAAGGATTTGTAAATAATAAAAAAATTCAGTTAATTTTTTTTTTATCGTAACATCCTAAAACTATGTTCCTAAATTTCTCATAGTTATATAAAATGATAGAACCGTGGAAATTTTGCCCTATAAATATGACTCACTTTTGCGAACCATATTATAGAGCACTATAAAACCACGAAAAATTATTTTTTTAATAACCTTGATTTAGTTTTTTAAATAATATGAAAAATAAGTACAATTTTTATATGTTATTTTTTTAACCTCTACTGTACTTATCTATAGATCTATAGCTATAGCTCATCTTAATATTAATATCTCTGTTATTCTTTTTTTTTATGATTTAGAGGCTATGGTGCCATGAAAGTTATTAAAACTAATTAGTACTAATATTTTGTTTGTATGGAATTTCTAAGCATACTACTCAAAAACAATAATTTGGTTCAGTTATAGTGCTGAGAATTGTTAATAAGAGATTGTTTTTATTTATTATGTAATACATAAGATAATATAAAGCGATTAAAAATAGTAAAAAATATTTTTTGCGAGCACTTCTTTTACCAATCGAACTTGTGAAGAGAAAATTAATGACCAGTAATAAGTATTAAAAAGCTTCCATATTAACTCGTGTCAAATAATTGTCAATAGTAATAAGTCTTATTAGTTGTCTTAAATTTAGACCTTATAAACTATTATTATTGTTATTTATTTTTAGGTTATTGTTTAAACTAGTTATTAGAAATGAATCAAATAAAATTAATTGTTCTTCAAATCCAAATTTTTTTGCAATTTTACAAATAGCTTTTTGTTGTTCAACTTAATATATATTTTTTCACATGGTTACATTCGAATTGACTCGATAGTTTTTTTCCTACGTCAATCGAAAGTTTTTGGTGTAAAAACTTTTTTTCACATTTAACTGCCCATAACGTGTTATTAATAATAAATAATGCATTTGAAAAGTGTATATATAAGAAATTTGATGACGAAGAAATTGGTGATCGAAAAATTCCTCTACGAGTAATAAAAGTGGAGATATAAGCAAAAAACTAAATAAAAAATTGGCATTTTTTCATAAATTGTTAAATAAATAAATGATGCTGACGGTTGATTTGGACAAAACTATTTGTCCCGTATTCCTGGGGAAATTCTGTGGGGGAATGACCAATTTTTTCTCCACTGAAAAACATAAGATTAAATCGTATTTTTTTGGTCTCCGGGCAATGGACTATTACTCATTTTTTTTTCTGCACATGCCGACGAAAATTATCTCTTCTATGTTTCCCGATTTGCAGGGATTTGAAGCATTTCTTTCACCATTTAGTACAGCTCTCTTTCTTAGAAAGGACCACTTTTCTGTATGTAAGAGACTATGTATATATAAATTGGTCAAAATCTTCGGGCATTAATAATAGAAAGGATGCATCGTATGCTTATACTGCGTGTCGAAAAGAAAGTGACAGAATACGAATAGTAGAACATCCTTTTTCTAATACGCCCGTGATTGGCTGACTCTTTTTCATATATGAAAATCTATACTTGTGTGCAAATGTATAGGGTAGGGTAGGGCAGAGCCCCTTTACCATAGACTTTAACCTCACCTTTGCTCACTTACTATAACTTAAATATTTCAAGTATTCTTTATCTGATAATTTTTTAATGAAATTCTCGAGGAATTTTCTCCAGAATCGCAAAATTCAACTGGACAGAATGATTTGCCTTCCCCTGTGAACCATAGGTTATGTGACATCGGATTACTATAGAAAATTTTTTATCCGTTTTTAGTGAACGATATGTTTTTTGTTTTTTTAAAAAGGCTCTATTTTTGGTTTTGGGGGACTTTGGAGGGTTTTTACTGCCCCCCTAGACTTAAGGTATGACTGGAGACTAATTTTCCTTTATTCTACTATCCAAACGCTGAAAAATAAAAAAAACACGTCCAAATCGGAGTTTTCTGTCAAGAGTTATCTTATTTTGAGACAAATTTTGGCATTCTAGCCCACTGTGCGGCGCTTCTGAGTACGTTCTGTACATATATTATATTGTCGGCTAGCAATACTAATGTAGCGCTAGAAAGCCTTAAGCCCTAATACTACTAAATAACACCACCTTTTTTTGAATATTTATTTATGATTTTAAACTTGTTTTGATTTTGTTTTACCGAAATTATTTTAAATTGCATAACCATTACGTGTTATAAAATGGAAAGCAATGCTATAGGATTACAAGTTTGTTAATATACTTTGCCTAAAAGCAGAATTTGAAGAAATGAATCTTTTGTAAAAAAATTCTTATCAGAGAATGTTTTAAGCGTTTAATTGTGAGGAAACGCTACAGAATCTACTTACCCTCGGAAATAAAAATGCTAGTTGTCCGAAAAATTAAAAAAAAAATGAATATTTTAATTATATAAGTTTTGATAATTGAAGATCTTAAGGTGGTTCGAGCATGGCTATATATATTGGTGACTATATATTATACATTTATATACACGTTGCCCGGATGCAATGTATATATGTAAATCCATGTCGTCTGCAGTATTATTTTTGCGCGTTGACATTCATAACCCCATATTTTTTGTCACTTCATGTTATGCTTCATTATAAATAAAAGGTAGTGTTTCAACAAAAATAAAAATGAACTCTGAGAGACA